AAAAAAAAAAAAAGCTAGCACATTTATAGATGTCAATCATGTTACAGGTCACAACCTGAGAATATGTCAGTGCACCCTCCAACAGTCATGAAGGCTTGTAATTGCAGGCTCGGCAGGTATCTCAGCAGGTAATTGCTCGACATGTGAGTGTTATTTGTTGATTTATTTCACCTGGGCATTCCACACGATATTAACTGGCCCGTGACCTCAAGCTGTATTTAAACAGCTGCCTTTGCACCTGCAAGCAGGGATTACTGTCGTTTTGACTGACTTTCACGGGCCTTTTTGTGTTTTGTTTCTGCCAACTTTACGTTATACTTGGTTTGAGTCTAAATTTACAAAAGACATTTTTTTAAGCTGGGTTGCAATCAGTATGCTGATATAACCCAGGCCTCAGTTAAAAGTCTTATCATAGTGTCTGTTTATCTAAATGATTCTCTGCAAAGTGTATTTATGAATAATTTCTTTTCTTGCAAAGGTCAACTCAGTTTTTATTTGTATTGCTCAACTTCAATTCAAAATATTTAAATAACTGAAAACTGAGCTTCTTCCAGAGTGAAGTTTTTCAGAAACTCTAGAACAGAATAGCCTTTTATTGTCATTGTACATGTACAACGAAATTATGGTTTACATGCGGACAGAGATTTTGTTTCACAAGCATAAGCCTTTATCTCCTTTTTTGAATTCAGTCTGTGCAACGCGTTACTGTTTGATCCACCAGTGTTCCTATACAGTTATGTACATCTACAAATGAACTGAAACTATTAATCTGGAACTTTCAATGATTTTCCATGGTCCCAGAAATGAAGGATTATTTCTTGCTCGTGATTTTATCTGATTACTTTCGGGACTGTGAAAAGCCTTAGTTCAAACAAGCATTACTTTTCCACAAATGCATTCAAAATATTTTCACTCCATTTTCTGCCACCTGTTGATTTCAGCTGAGGACAAAGGGTTGCTTGGATGAAGCAAAGGAATACAAGTTGGGATCTGAGGACAGACAAGAGGTGGGTGGTAGTGTTGCTGGTTATTCTGGTGGCAGCTGTGGCCTTTGTGGCTAGGTGGTGTTTCTGTATCAGACTGTGTTTGCCTGTGCAGTACATCCTGTAGTAAGGACCTTTGCAGTGCTGCTGACTGGCCAGATTACAGGATTAGTGCCGTCTCGGACTGTTTGACACCTTTAAGTCAGGCGAAAGCTCCAATCCTTTTTCTGGCAATGGGGATTTATATCATTCAAATCCTCCCTGTAGCTAAGATATGAAATAAAATAATAATTTAATCTCATTGGCTGATGTCATCCTGATGTGTGGAGCCACAGGAATGTTAATTAGTGCTGAGGTCTCCAAAAGTCGTATCAGGAAAAAAATTGGCAAATATTTGAACCTGAAGAAATGCTTCTGATTTATCTACGAAGACACACAAAGCCACAAAAAGACAACCCAAGCACCTCTCATGTGTGTTAAAGTGGGCTCTGTGTTTGTTTTGGGTTTCTTATTAGGTTTTGTTTTGTTTGTTTACTTAAGCGTGTGTGTGGGTGTGCCTGTGTGTGTGTGTTATTGTGTCTGTTCATGTAAGAAAAACTAAAAAATGTGTGATGGGAACAGATTGTGTTGTCATTGTAAACTACTGTACACTTGTCTCTCAATAAAAATATAAAAAAAAAACAAAAAAAAACAAAGAGAAGTCATAAAAAGAAAAAAACGCAGTGTACTTCAACTGGCTGAGGCAGGATGATGACAGTCACGGTTCCTGTGTGGATTCGCTGCATCCTGGAGGAGAGCCCCACCTCAGGGATCCTTTGAACCCGGTGGGTTCCTCCTTCGTGCTTCAGGTGCCTGTACACGTTCTCTCCAGCTATTCTCGCTGCTGCATGGTGCAGACCACCTGAGAGACACCGTTCATGCAGCTGTAAATGTTTTGGTAGGAGGTTTATGTCCACTGATCACCACAAGTTTAAATTTCTACTCTAATCCACACATAGTCATTCAATCCCATGATGAGTGAGTTGGAACTAATAACAAAGACACTCGGGGGGGGGGATACAGCAGGAACTATTTATGAATGATACAGAAATACAAAAATTACCTTACCATACTCTGCAGGTGTGTAGTTCAACACCTCAAAGTCCCAGTTTTTGTAAAATGCAAAACCCTGGTACATGTCAAACATTTCTTTGGTGAACTGCTGACAAATGTCACCTGAAACCACACATGAGAAAGTATGACACTTATTTTCCATAATAACGCTTATTTGCAGTATTTTACTGTGAATTGTATTTTGAATTTATAAAAACAAATTCAGAGTTTTGCTTTCCTTCATACCTCCTGTTGTCCGCCCTGATACGACCTCCAGCAGAACATTACTCGAGTCAAGAGGATCAGTGGGGATAAGAGCTTTGATTAGCTGCGGTAAAAAGAAAACCTCATGAAGAAACAATGGTCCGTCACACACTTCTGCATTAATTAGCTGTGTCTTTTGGGTTCTTACGTCTCTTCTTAAAGCCAAAATCTTGCTGGAGATTTGTGCTTCCTCCTCTTTTAGCAGCTGGGTCAGATCTTCATCTTTGGTGCCAGCTAAACCTGCCATGAGTAAGGAAAATAATTTTATTTATTGTATTTAAGAATGCAAAGTAAAACTGTGCTCACACAAAGCAGCAAATACATGTGGTATTTAAATAGTTAGAAGACCTCTGGAGATTGGACACCTGAGAAACACGTTTGATGGTTTTCTGTGGTTTGAGAGGTGTGTTTATAAAGCCATTACATGTGTATATATAGTAAGCTTAAAAAATCCTACTCACCTTTTAGAAGTGAACTGACCTCTTCGAGGTCTTTCTGAGCTTGTTCAATGCTCCTAAACACACTTGCCAGAGGCAGCAGCTCAGTGTGCTTCTTTGTGAGCCCCTTTCTGTCTGACTCACTGAGGTATGCATGCTGTAGCTTCTTGCTCAGGTCTCTGTGCTCCTCCATGAGCTGCTCGAGATACACCTGAACTGACTCGTTCTTGTACAGCTCCCCCAGATCACTGTGAAAGAAGCGTTTAAACATTACTCTGCCCCAGTGTGGCACGTCTGTCCTGTTAGCATGTTTCACACTGGCGTGTCCCACAAGTGTCCTCCATCCTCCTCTTCTTACTCCGCTGCTGTAAACTACACGGGTACACAAAGAGCACAGTCTGAAGCAACGCCTGACAAGCATTTGACTAAATTTAGGCGGTGACAAGTGAAGTAAAATAATGCTCGCTAGTTTTATTTTTGTGTTTACATGCGAGACTGCTGCTGGCTGTAAGAGAGACCGGATATAGTTTGACGTGGAGAAAAAGTGAACTGTGGGAATCGTAGTCGTATTGTATCAATGGTTAGGTTACATCCCGCTGCTCATTTTTCTAACTGTACTTTTATTGATTCCCTTGCAAATAAATTAATAAAAAGTAAACTAAATAAATACTTTCGTTTATATTGTAAATGAACATATTAACTTAACACCATATTAGCTTTGTTTATTTAATCTTTTTAAGTTAGTTGATTTCACATTTTTCTAGGGTTACTTGAAACCCAAGGATAAAAATGGCATGCTGTCATTGCTAACTATCAGACATAAACAGTACAGAAAATTATAAGCTAGCAAGTCAATATGCCAAACTTTGGGGTCAGTGAAGATGGTAAGATGTTTTGTTTGTTTTTGGCAATACAGGAAAGTAAATATATGTCTGCTTAACAGTTTAAGCAACTGTACATAACAAACTGTAACAAATAAATAAATAGAGCTGATGTTAGCTTTGTTAGTCTAGCATAAGCTACATAGCTAATTAATGTTAGCTCAGAGTAAGTAAAGAAGTTGGTGTTTGCTACCTTTAAAGGCCTAATATTTTATTGTTTTACGTGATCAGTGGCGTCCATTTTAAAGAAATAAATAACCCCTTGGCTTAAACTTTGCCAATGAAAATGAAAATTTGGCTAAATTGGCAGCCAGGTAGTTATTTTATAGACTTTCACAAAGTGATTCTCATGATTTCCAGGACCGCCTGGGTTTTCGTTAACCAAGGCAGTGGAGAATGTGAGTCAACATGGCTATACCCAGAAAGAGGCCCTGAAAGAGAAACAGAGGACACTCAGTACCCTGCAGGTTCATCTCTAACCCTATTCCCCTACAACACTGATTAACTAAATGCAAAACATGTTGGGCAATTATTTTTCTGAAGGGGCCAAATGAGCAATTTTTTATTTTAGCTTTTTTTACAAGCTTTTTGATCTGCTCCTCCACAGTCCCGCTTTCTTATGTGGCCCTTCGGAAAAATTAATTGCCCATTCCTGCTTTGTACAATGGTAATAACATAGTATAACCTATAAAGTGGCTATCATAATACAAAATGATGGCATATTAGATAGATTTTTTTTTTTACCATGGACACATCACTCAGCCTACTGAGCACAGTTCTGTGCACCCAAAGAGCCAGGAAAATCCATTGTCTTGTCCCAGAACTATACTATATGTATAATGATGCAAATATAACCATCAGAGTAACTAAGTCATAAAATGTTACATAAAGAGACCTAATTAACCAAAATGTGCCTCAAATCCACCACAAAGAGGTGTCAAATGATCAAAAAGAGTCACAAAATATAATTAAAAAACACAATGGGAGAAAATTGTCTAGAAAGTGAAGTAAACATTTATTTGCATAGTTTGTGGCTTTCTTTATGACTTAATTGGACTTTTTGGTTTGCCTTATTTTCCAGGCAACTCTGTCAGAGCTTGAGAGGAAAAACGAGGGCATAGACAAGGACCTGAGATCAAAAGTGAGAGAAATCCTAGTGCTGGAAAGTGAGATGGAGCAGCTGGAGCAGCAGACCAAACTCCTTCATGATCGCTGTGTATCCATCAGCAAGGAAAACACAGAACTCCAGATTCTGATAGGTGAGGAGGAGGAGGTTGCACTAGTGGCGCTTGCAGGGTTCAACGCTTACCGAAGTAAGATGGAAGGCCACAGGGCAGCTGTTTTGCATGCAGTGAGCCAGACAAAGGCCCATAACGAGCTGAAGGAGAAGAAAGAACTAGTACAGATGCTGAGAAAGCAAAACGAGGAGCTGAAGGAAGATTTGAACAATCCAAATGGAAACACAGTGCAGATGGCAAAGGTGGTCTCTTCATTTTAATCATAGGGATCTTTTTCAGAGATCTTCAGTATCCATAACTATCATATGCTCATGTGTGCAGAGAGAGATTAAAGCTCTGAAAGAGGAGGTCTCCCTGAAGATGAAGACCATATCTGAGAAGAGACAGCGGCTCCAAAAAGAGTCTGAGATTCATGCCCAAATAAAGAAAGACATAGAGGTGTGCAGACTTACCCAACAGACACCAGGGACATCTTATGAGGCTGACATTTGTTCATAAAACAGCTAAATCACCTAGATAGAATTTGTATCAAGACATGAGTTATGTTTCAGTCTGAAAGAAAGCATCAACAACATCACTTTTCCCCCTTCCTCAGATCCAGAACAGGCGCTATGAAGCCATCATGAAGCGCCTACGCTGCCAGCTGAGCAGGGCACAAGCCAACCACAGGTAGAAATACTATAAACATGTGACAGTAGACATGCTACAAATAGCTCTAAATGCCAGAACAGAGACGATTGATGTCCTGCTTCTAAATACTAAAGGCTACTAAGTTGTGCCTACTTTCCCTTAGGCAAATGTCTGATGATATCTACCACATGAGGAGACAGCTAGCCGAGCTCAGGAGTCAGCAACAGTCATCACAACCATAAGCAGTCAGTGGTCATCGAACTGTATTGTCAGATTAATGTGGGTTAATTGTTCTGTTATTGAGATAAATGTACACCAGTTGTTATTATGAGTGTGTTAGTTTAACAAGGAAGGAGCATTCTTGTTACTGAAGTTAAACAACAGGGGGCAGCCGTGACCACTGAATGCCTGACTTTATCTGTTTGGCTTTCTTGCTTTATGCCAGATATTTATACAAGAGTTATTGCTGAATGTGTTCCTTGACATGTGCAAGTTTTCTTTTCTTGTTTTTTCCCTTTTCTCAAATGAAAAGCATAAATATGGAAATGAAAGGACCGTGTCTTGTGGCTCAGCATCAGTAGGGGCGTGGGATGGGATTTTAGGTCAGGTGGTGTTAGTGAATCAGTTCATCCACAACAGTAACCCGAGCAAAACACAAGCCAAATGTCCACTGTAACTGTCAGTGTGGCAGTGCTGCTTTGGTACACCCTGTCCCAGCTTCTGCCTGACTGGGCCACTTGACGGCTCTGAGGCGACAGTCCCACTGTCGGGTTAACAAGGGCGTGACTGTGCTACTTCAACCATAACGCGAAAGTAATTAAACAATGAAGCTGCCTTTTCAGAAGATAAAATCACATCAGAATGAATTGAATCAGCCTCTGAGAAACCCCATAACTTTATAACTCTACACTTTTCACATCTGAATTGTGTCCTTGTGGGTCTTTTGCATTATTTGAACAGCTGTTCAATAAAGCTCAGAGATGTTGCTGAGAGGTGGATTTTTATGAGCTAAAGACTAGATTACAGCAAATTTGATTAAGACCCAAAGCTTAAATAGAAGATTCTGTTCAGAGTTTAAACCCCCCCCCCACAAAGTTTTAGCCACAAAGATGTTTGCAACATTTAAGAACAATAATTTCATGAAATATTTGTGCAGCGGTTGTAGGTATGTGTTGTCTCACCTACAGCGTTAACTTGTAATAAGTAAGTGTGCAGGAAGTCTGGTTCAGTGTGCGTGAAGTCAAGGACATTGTCTGGTTAACTAAAGGTTGAGTTTCATCCAACATACTGAGTTTCATTCAGCAGTACTGCTCTATCTGAATGGCTTTGTTAATTACAATGCTGCAAAAAAAAAAAGAAAAAGTTTTGAGCCACCACAGCAATCTGTCAGAAATACAGCATATAAGGCAAAAACAGAGTTTGTACACTTCTAATGAGCTTGAAAGTCAATATTTGCTTTGACCACCTTAATTCTTCAGCACAGCCTGAACAGCTTTCTTGTCATGTCTTTAAGTAGTCTTCAGGAATATTTCTCCAGGCTTCTTGAAGGACATTCAAAGCTCTTCTTTGGATGTTTTGTTCTGTTCTCTGTCAACATGATCCCACACTGCTTCAATAATGTTGAGGTCCGGGCTCTGGGGAGGCCAATCAAATTCAAATTCAAATTCAAATTTTATTTGTCACGTACACAGTCATACACAGTACGATATGTAGTGAAATGCTTGGACAACTGCTCGTGACCTAAAGAAAACAAAAAAGGAAAGGCTATGAATAAGATAGGAAATAAATATGAAAAATTAAAAAGGGTAAATTTAACTAGGAAGGAATAAAATATAAATTAAGGTTAAAAATGAAATAACTGTACAACACAAATTAGAATGAAGGGTAAATTTAACTGGGAGAATAAGATAAAATATATAAATTAAAGTTGAAAATAAAATAACTGTGCAACAAAATACACAATACACAATATAGAACTATATAAGAATGTATGAAGAAATCTAAATATAAATAAATATATACACAATAACAGCAGCTGTACAAGTATTAACCGGAAATGAAGAATATAGTGACCAGTGTTGTGCAAAAACAAAGTCCAGAAAGTCCAGTGTGTGTGTAAGAACCGTATGTGTGGGTCAGTACTGTGTGGTGGTGTGATTGAGAGACCGTATCGCCTGCGGGAAGAAGCTCCTCCTCAGTCTCTCTGTGTTGGTCTTCAGGGAGCGGAATCGCTTTCCTGATCTCAACAGAGAGAACAGTCTGTTGTTGGGATGGCTGAGGTCCTTCACGATCTTCCTGGCCTTGGTCCAGCACAATCGATGACTGATAGTATTGCACTGTGTGTTTTTCTATCCAGGTAGGCTTTTACTACATTAGCAGTGTGTTTGGGGTCATTGTCAATCTGAAAAATGATGCGGTTACCAATCAGATCAGTTTTCCAAATGGTACTGCATGGTGGATCAAAATCTGATGGCACTTTTCTGTATTCATAATTCATCAATTTTGACAAAATTGCCAAACATGACAGAGCCTCCACTGTCTTTTACACATTACTGCAGACACTCACTGTGGTACCACTCTCCTGACATCCTCTGTACATAATGATGATGATTTGAGCCAAAAATTCAAACTTGTATTTACTCCATAAGACCTGTTGCTACTGATAGATGGATCAGCTGAAGGCCCAGATGACGTCTCTCAGGTCCCGTGTCATTCAAAATTGGTTCTTTGCTAAGTTGTATTATTTGGACACTCAGCATTGGCTCATCCTTTAAGTTAGATTTATACTTGAATCATTTCTCCAGTCAGTTTTATGGCTTACCAAAAAATATATATTCCTCTGAAAATAGACTGGACTAAAAGCAAAATATGAGGGTAAATCAAGACTTTTACAGAGTATTGTATATTCTGAAGAGGACAGCCCTCTGCTTTTTTCTGTTTGTGTTCTGTCAGCCTCAGCCTATTCAGACCTCTTAGAAAGTATAGTCCATTTTATTTAGAAGCCTTCTGCAGTAAATTTATATCCCTTGTTCACGTCATACAGTACAAGCACATGCCTGAATACATAAAATACACAAAACATTTCTTTTTTTTTTGTTTTCATTCCATAAATTTTATTACTTAAAAATAAACTTTATTCCCATGATGTCATCCTAAATAATTGTCCTGTGTATCATGGTGGGATTAGTGTTCAAATTAAACTCTGTTTCCACTGTTTGTTTCGACCGCAATGCATGCTTTACATTCTTGTTACATAAGAAGGGTTTTCCACCATGAAGAGCGGTGCATTACTTGGTCAGAAGCTCTTAAAATAAATGCCATATGCTCCCACTCCAGGCTAATTAAGCCTGGATAATTAAGGAATGAAATTAACAACAGCCTTCTACCGCATGCTGTTTTTATTTATTTATTTACCTATTTTGGCTTTGACACATTTTTCTCTCCAATTTGGCACCATCCATTATATCAAATATATTATTGGCTCATGAATGTAAGAGGAGTGTAGGCATCTACCAGCCAGTGGAGACTTAAAAATAGAACAACAGAAGTCAGCTTACAGGGTTTTCTCCCCCTTTTAAACACACAAAACGTCACTCCTCACAGCTCTTTATTGCCTTTAAAGGACATTTTAGCATTAATAACAATACTCCACCATCCTTGTCCTGTAAAAATGATCTTGAAATGACAGAAGAAAAACAGATCCATGAATCTGTCGGTCGCTGACCTTTAACAAAATTATTTAAATCATTAAAAACTGTCTATCTCCTTCCAAGAAGCATCCCTTTGACCTTAGATTCAGCTTGTGTTGGCCTTTTGATGGATGAGCCTGCCAATAAAACACACTTGGCAACCCCTTACATCGACTGAGGATCTCTGCAATACAACTGAGCTTATTTGTTTCTCTCTTCTCGCTCATCTTCTGTGGATGCAGTGTGCTGTTGTGTGCTGATACTGCTTACAGAAACTGGTACACATTAAGCAATAACTATCTAGTGAATACAATAACAAAGATTTAAAGATCCTGTTCGGCTATTATAAAATTATTTTGGTTCAAAGTGGAATTTAGTACAATAGAAGTACTTTAACAAGCATCAACAAAATATATTTAAGACTGAAAATGATCACTGACTATCCAGTTAATATTTTGGGGTTTGTGCATTTTGCCCATGAAAAATGATGAGTTCAGATGGTCTTACTTATTATGTTGAGTTCCCAGCTCACACAAACGTAAAAGACACAGAAAATAGTACAGTGGTATTGTATTGCACAGAAAAGGGTTACGCGTGTGCCAAGTTTTAAAAAAAAATAGCAACACCACAGCTATATAAAATATATAAAATATAGATGTAGCCGACCTGACGTCCACAATAAATTTGCAAAGTCCTGTTTTTAAAGCTTCATCCTAAGTGTTTTAGCTTTTACCTTTTGCGTTTAAAAAGTGAAGCACCTTAAACTTGCATTCATTTTAATGGCCAGAAGGGGGCAACTCCTCTGGTTGAAAAATGTTTCATAGAAGTCTATAAGATGTTGGCTCTTGACTCTTTTGCTCTGTGTCCAACGTAAACACTTTCCTGATGATTGCTTTTTTCATTTTGCTACTTTCAGGTGATGCAGAATAAAGCATGATGTTCATTTGTAGATTGTGGTCAGTTAATGGAGTTCACTTCTCATCAAATTATGCTCCATATTAGAATTTATACTGTTCGCAGGAGACAAAATCATTTACATTTATAGAAAACAACATCACACTACCTTTCCATTAATGACCATTTTAGACAATCATTGCTAATATTAGACTATATTAGACTTAATTATTGAGGTTTCACAGACATGTGATATGTTGAGTAGTTACTGGAGGTTGATGACACTTACAAGGTAAATGATTGCTAAAGTCCTAAAGACCAGACCATTGAGTGACACACCTGGCAACCCCTAGCATATTTTTGCAGTCCTAGTTTGATTGAAAGTGACGGACTTGTCTACAAACACTCTCCAACTACTCTTTGAGATGTAGTGAAACTGTGAAATTGAAAAGGTTCAAGGTTCAAGTAGAAGTTGCACATCTTGAAACATGTGAAAAACCTTTTACTTTAAAGGAGAACCTTCTCCATTTCCAGTTTGCTAGCGTGTTTTCAAGTTTGAAGGCAGCCATGGCAATCTGCAAGCAAGCACTGGGAGGTTTCTGGTGCAACAATTTTTTTGTACCTATCCAGAAAACTTTCAGGAACCACTGACAGCCCTTCTCACACTTCCCCGTCTGGGATTCTGATGGACGAGTCTGGGTTTGGTGGTTGCCAGGAGAACAGGACTTGCCTGACTGCACTGTGCCAACTTTAAAGTTTAGTGGAGGGGGGATTATGGTTTAGGGTTCTTTGTCAGGAGTTGGGCTCAGCCCCGTAGTTACAGTGAAAGGAACTCTTAATGCTTCAGCAAACCAAGACATTTCTGACAGTTTCATGCTCCCAGCTTTGTGAGAACAGTTGGGGGTTGGACCCTTCCTGTTCCAACATGACTTCGTACCAGTGCACAAAGCAAGTTCCATAAAAGACAT